CTCAGGATGATAGGTATTAAATAATTAATTAATAATATTTAAATATTAGATTAAGTATTTCTAGAATTTAGCTATAAACTAAAAGCCCTAATTAAAGATTATAAGATAAAAAAGACTATATAGCTTCTAAATATATTATATATATATTATAGTTATTTTAGTAATATTAGTAATAAAATTATAAAATATTTAATATTTTATTTTAATAAATTTATTAATAATTATTTATATAGTATTATATTCCTAGTTTTCAAATAAATATATAATAAAATTTATAGATATATCCTATTAGATATGCTCAGGAATTAGTAGAAGTTTTAGAATATCTTATCTAATTTTTTAAAATAAAATAATATAATAATAAATATAATAATTCTTTATCTATTATTCTAGATAATAGTAGGGATTAGGCTAGTAATATTTTAAAATTAAAAACTTATATATATAAAACTTTTAGAGTATTTTAAAGATAGTTTATTATATACTAATCAGATTAATTTGGTTTTTAATTTATTATAGTCAGAAATCTAAAAATAATTTTTCTAAAAGAATAAATTTTATTTTTTCTTATAAAAGATTAAAAAAATTTCGAGATAATAATCTTTATTAATTATTAATATTTCTAATATATTTTATACTTATTTTTTTTATATATATCTTATAAAATAGTTTAAATTTCTAGTAATGTTTATAAATCTTATTTATTTTTAAAAATAATATTATTTTAAGATTAAATTATTAAAATTAGAATATTCTTAGAAAGATTTTTCCTAAATTTTTTTTATATAAATAATTATTTAAAATTTAAGAATATTTTATATTTATTAAATATAAGATCTTTTTTAGTAGTTCCTGGTTCGGGGTCCTTTTTAGTCTAGATAAATAAATAAATAAAATCTAAGTTTTCTTATTTTAGTAGAATCTAATTTTAATATAGTAATTATTTATTTTTTTAAAAAGATCTTTTAATCTTTTAATTAAATATTAAATTTATTTTATAATATCTGGGACAGTACATAATTTTAAAATTAAAATAAAATAAAAATTCTAATTATCAGATTTAATAGTAATTCAAAAAATGAATTAATATAAAGTATTCTAGATTATAATAATTAATAATAGTTTAAATCAGGAATAAAACTTTTTTAAATTTAAAATACTATTTCTTAAAGTAGTAAATAATTATAAATAAGTCTTTATAATAGATTTTATAATTATATTTAGTTAGAGAATACTTCTTAAAGAAAAAGACTATAAAAAACAATAATCAATCTATACTATAGTAGGATAAAACTCTAGTGAAAATATAATCTAAAATATTAATTTTTAATGTTATCTTTTAGATCTAATTGAATGGCTAAAATATTAGAACTATATAAAAAATATTTTTTATATAGTTTAAAATATCCTGGTAGGCGGGAGTCTAAATAAAAAAATATTTTTTTTAATAAGTTATATAAAAGAAATAGTAAGTCTTAAAAAATTATAAATAAAATAATAATAATAATTATTAAATCCTAGAAAAACTTACACATCTATTATATAAATTAGAATAGATTATTTAATAATAATTTTAATATTTTTTAAATTTATATAAAATCTATTATAGCCTATGATTAAGCTCAGAAACTTAATCTTAAAAATAATAAATTTATATTTTAACATTTTAATAAAGAATCTAGTCTTATATAATTTTATAAAAATTAGTTAGATATACTCTATATACTCTATTTAGATATAATTATAAATTAAGATATAATTTAAATATATTATATAGAAGATGTCTAGATAATCTTAAAATATATTATTAATATAATATTAAAAAATAGCTAGAATTTTAATTAATTTAAAAAATATTATTAGTAATTTGTACAAGCTGAAATACGTATAAAATATTATTAATTATTTTTATTTTTTAAGAATTTAGATATTATTAAAAATATTAATAATATTAGTTTTAATGAAACAATCTATTTTTTTCAAGATTTCTTTCATAAATAGAAATAGGTAATGATCTTTAGTAAAGATTATATTTTAAATATAATGATTTAAATAAAAGATTAAGTCCTTCTCTAGGTTTTTTAATGGTTAGGACTAGTAAAATAATAAATAATAAGTTTAAATAAATAAAATCTTTTTTAAATTTTTTTGATAGTTATCTATAGAGAGTCTAAAATTTATTTTGAAATTTATTATATAAAATATTATATAAAGCGATTCTTCTTTTTTCTAGAATAATAATATAGGTATAATTAAAATAAAAAAAAGCTTCTCTATTTTTGTTAAGGTGCGGGCAGGGAGGGATAGTAGACTAGTAAGTTCTAATAAGTAAATAAGATTTAGATAATAATAATAATTAGAATTCTAACTAGATACTAAGCTAGCTACTAGTCAAGCTATATATAGATTAATAAATAAAATATAGTTTAAAGCTATAGATAGGGTTTAGAATATAAATAGCTTTTAACTATATCTAGAATCATATATCAAGTAGTAAGACTTAGTAATATTTCTTTTATTTTAATTTGAAAGATTATATTATAATAGTACTTTTTTTTAAATTAGATTTATAAGATAAAGATTAGGATTCATATAGATAGGAATAATAAAAAGTTTTAATAATTTAATAAATATTCTCTAGATATTCCACAGATTTATTAATAGAATTAATATATTTTATTTATTTAATAAAATATATTAGTTAGGGACGGCCTCATCTCTAATAATTTTTAAAAAATCTAATATATCTTTAATCTTCTATTCCTCGAATCTATTAAACTTAACATAAAAGGAAAAAGACTAATATTAATCTAGTAATAGATTATTATTAATAAAAATAAATAAATTTATATTAAATACTAGATAGATCTTTATATTTAACAGGAATTTCAGATAATATATATAGAAACTAATAATATTTTAATATGATAAAAATCTAGAATATTTTAGTTAAATTTCTTACTAGATTATAAAATCTTAATAAATTAAGTATCTAGCTAAATTGTTTTAATTTTTTTTAAAATCTCTAATTAAAATAGTATCTTTTATTAGTTTATTTTATATATTAGATTTAAGCTGCAGCTATCCCAGCTATTATAAATTTTATAATAATATATATTTTTATAATAGATTATTCTTTTCCTGGTAATGGATTAATTAAAAATAAATCTAAATCTAAATTCTATTTATAAATAAAAATCATAGTTAGTAAAGAATAGTTTGATTTTTATAATATTAAAATATATAATATTTAAATAAACTTAATTAAGAAAAATTAGATCCTCTAATTATTCTATAAGTAGTTTATATCAGTATAAAGATATTATTTTAATACAGTATTTATCTACTCTATCTAGCTATTAGTTTTAAAATAATAAGTAGTTAATAATTAGCTAATAATATCTAAATATTAAATTAAAGATTTCTTAAATTTAACTATGAATTAAAAACTTTAATTAAAGATTATAGAACAAGAAAGATTGTATAACTTGCATATGTACTATATATATTATAACTATTTTAATAATGTTAGTAGTAGAATTATAAAATATTAGATATTTTATTTTAATAAGTCTATTAATAATTACTAATATAGGATTATATTTTTAGTACTTAGATAAATATATAATAAAATTTATAGATTTATCCTGTCAGGTAAATTAAGAAATTAATAAAGATTTTAAAATATTTTATTTAATTTTTTAAAATAAAGTAATACAGTGACAGGTACAATAGTTTTCTATTTATTATTTTATATAGAAATAGAGATTAGGCTAGTAATATTTTTAAATTAAAAATTTATATAAAGATTTTCTAGAGAAATCTAATAATGGTTTATTATATATTAATTAAATTAATTTAATTTTTAATTTATTATAGTTAAAAAGCTAAAAATAATTTTTATAAAATAATAGATTTCTCCTTCTCTTATCAAAAATTAAAAAGCTATTTAGTTAATAATCTTTACTAATTTTTAGTAATTTTAGTTTATTTTATATGAATTTATTTTTTATATATATATTTTATAAAATAATTTAAATTTCTAGTAGTAATTATAAGTCATATTTATTTTTAAAAATAATACTATTTTAAGATTAAATTATTAGAGCTAGAATATTTCTGAAAAGATCTTTCTCGGGTTCTTTTTATATAAATAATTATTTAAAAGTTAAAAATATTGTTTTTCTTTAGTGGTTTTAGGTTCGGGATCCTCTTTAATCTCAATAAATAATTATTTAGGATCTAAAGATATTCTATATTTATTAAATTTAGGATCTTTCTTGGTTATTCTAAATTTAAAAGGTTTTTTAATCTAGATAAATAAATAAACAGAGTCTAAATTCTCTTATTTTAGTATAGTCTAATTTTAATATAATAATTATTTATTTTCTTTCTTTAAAAGATTTTCTAATTTTTTAATTAAATTATTAAACTTAGTTCTATAGTGCCCAGGACAGTATATAATTTTAAAATTAAAATAAAATAAAAATACTAACTATTAGACTTAATAATAATTTAAAAATATAATTAATATAAAATATTTCAAGTTACAGTAATCAGTAATAATCTAGATTAAAAATAAAATTATTTTTAAATTTAGAATATTATTTTTTTTAAAATAAAAAATAATTATAAATAATCATTTATTATAAATATTATAATTATATTTAATTAGAAAATATTTTTTAGAAAAAAAGGCTATAAAATATAATAATCTATCTTTATTGTATTAGAATAAAACTTTAATAAAAATATGATCTAAAATATTTAATTTTCTATATTATTTCTTAGATTTAATTAAATAGTTAGAGTATTAAAGCTATTATAAAATTTTTTTTTAATTTAAATAGTTTAAGGTGGCTTAACACGCAGAAGTCTAAATAAAAAAATTATTTTTTTAATACATTATATAAAAAGAATAATAAGGTTTTAAAAATTATAAATAAAATAGTAATAAAAATTACTAAATCTTAAAACAATTTGTATATTTATTATATAGGCTAGAATAAATTATTTAATAATAATCTTATCTTAATTTTTTCTTGATTTATAGAAAATTTATTACTGTTTATAATTAAGTTTAAAAACTTAGTCTTAAAGACAATAAATTTATATTTTAACATTTTAATAAAAAATCTAGCTTTATATAATTTTATAAGAACTAACTAAATATATTTTATATACTCTATTTAAGTATAGCTGTAGATCAGGATATTACTTAAATTTATTATATAAAAAATATCTAGATAATTTTAAAGTATAATATTAATATAATATTAAAAAATAACTAAAATTCTTATTAATTTCAAAAATAATATTAGTAATTTATATGAAAAAAAATAAATATAGAATACTATTAGTTACTCTTATTCTTTAATAATCTAAATATTATTAAGAATACTAACAATATTTATTTTTGTAAAGTAATGTATTCTTTTTTAGATTATTTAAAAATTTTTTTATAAGTAAAAATAAATGATAAGCTCTAATAAAAATTATATTTAAAATATAATAGTTTATATAAAAATCTTTTTTATTAATAAATAAGACTAGTAAAGCAGTAGGTAATAAGCTTAAATAAAAACTTTTTAAAAATTTTTAAATAATTATTCATAGAGGATTTATAATTTATTCTAACACATATTATATAGAGAACTAGATAAAAAAATGTTTTTTTTTTAAATAATAGTATGATTATAATCATGGTAAAAAGAAAGCTTTATTTTTTTAAATCAGAAAATATTTATAAAGTTTTCAAATTTATCTAATAATATAAGATCTTTAGTACTAGAAATAAATTATAAAATAATATTAATTTAATTCATAATAATAATATATATTAAATACTTTTTACACGTGTAGACTATATAAATTATAATAAAAACTAATTATATATTCTAATCATTTAGAGACGGAAGAGATATAATATATATTAAATAAATATATATTAGAATATTATATAAAATATAAATCTTAATTAAATAAATAGATATATCATAATACTAATAATAATATAAACTAGTAAATTAGATAATATATTTAATAAAGTTTATTTAAAGATCATGGATCTTTAACTAAAATAAACTAAATATAATTAAAAAAAATAACTAACTAGAGAATCAGAAATAAAATATTTTTTTATATAATTATAAATCTTTAGAATTATATAAATATAATAGATAATTATCTTTAATTTATTCTCTTAATTATTAAATCCTGTAATAAACTTTAGATATATCAAAAAATATAAAAATAAATAATAAATTTTTATCTAATTCTTATTTATAACATGTAATATTAAATAACTAGTATTAAATATTATATATATAATAATTCTATAGTTATTAAGATTTAATATAATAAATATAACTTTTAAATTAATCTTTCAGAGCTTCTTCTTAATAGAGAGTTTTTTAATAATAATATTAAAGGAAATATAAATATATAGGATAATATTTTTCTAATAATAACTTAAATTACATATAACTCTTTTAACTGCTTACTAGAATCAGGAGAATGTAGTTATTTTAATATTATTATTATTTATAATTATAGAACTAATATTAACAATCTTATATTAAATAAATTTAAGATTTTTTTATTAAAGATTTACTCTACACAGGTAGTGATCAATAATAAAAAAATTATATTTATTTTAATAAGAATCAGATATATAACTAATTTATTAAATAAAGATATTAGATTTACCGTAATCATAGATTAAATATTAGTTAAAATTATAATAGAAGTATTTTTTCCTTTTTCTCTAGATAGTCTTAGGACGTAGAAAAGAATAGTAAATAAATAATAAATTTATAAAATTATAAGCTAAAATAATTAATTTTTAATTAAAAGTATTTATAGAAGATTTCTACAGAATTTTTTTAATAATATAAATATAATATATTAAATACTAGTTAACCTCCATAAATATTTCTAAGAATTAGATTTATATTTTAATTAGAAATTATCTAGATTCTATAGCAACTAGACTAGATTATAATAATTTTTTTTAAAAACATATATTTAAGAATATAATATTAAGCTTTTAATTGATATTATTCTTAAGAATAGTTATTAAGAAATTAAAATATAAATAAACTTTATAAATAAATTTTTTTATTTTAATAAAGTATATAATAAAATTATAATTTTTCATTATAAATAATATAACTTTTATTAAATATTATAGGCGTAGTTAAAGTTCCTAAAAATATATTTAAATATATTGTAAATATTTATAAAGTTATTATAGGTATAATCACTATCTTCTAAAAAATAAATTAAAATAAGAAATCTTGCTTAATTACCTAGTTATATAGATTTTATAAATAAAAATAATAATATAATAATTATAATTAATATTTACTTTTATTTTAATTTAAAAGATAAAATAATTTAAGTCTGAGTAATTATCTTTAACCTTATTAAAATTAAATAATTATTAAAAAAAATAAAAATAGAAGATTTAAAGTTAATTAATATAGTTATTTCTACTAGAAGAACTATAGATTTTTAAATAATAAATTCTAGAGTAAGAATAAAAATATTAATTATTAATATAATAATTTATATAGCTTTAACATACTTAGCTAAAACTTAATTTTTTTTCTTAAAAATATTTTTTTTATAGTTAGAGTACTAATTAATTAATAATTAATTTTTATAATTTATTAGACCTAGTACACGGTTATGAAATTCTAGATATTAAAATTTTATTATAAATAGTCTTATTTACTAGCGATCTTTATAATGAAGATAAAAATTCATTTATAATAGTTATATTATTCTCTAGAATTTTAAAAATATATTAAGCTAATTTATCTAGCCTGCTAATATTAATTAGAAGTTATAAAATAATAATTATTTTATAAATTTATTATTTTAGAGACGGAATTATATAGTATTAAGATATAGATAGATAGGGATAATAGGATAATAGATTTTAATAGATAAGTAGGATTCAGATAATAATAATAACTAAGATTTTAATTAGATACTGAGCTAACTACTAGTCAAGCTATATATAGATTAATAAATAAGATATATCTTAAAGTTATAGACAGGATCTAGAAAAAAGATAGTTTTTAAATATATCTAGTATCACGTGCTGGACGGTAAGACTTGGTAATATTTCTCTTATCCTGGCTTGGGAGATGGCACCGTGACAGTTTAAATGAGAAAGTACATATGAAATCTCTAAATTTATATAGTAGTATAGGATCTCTAATATTAAAAATAAGTTATAGGATAGTATTAATCTAGTCTATAGTAATAATATATATTAGATAATTCTAGTACACGTAGAATGTACAGGCTATAATAAAAACTAATTATATATTTTAATTTTTAAAGCGGAAAAAATATGATATATATTAAATATATACTAGAATATTATATAAAATATGGATCTTAATTAAATTAATAGATATATTATAATACTAATAGTAATATAAGCTAGTGAATTAGATAGTATATTTAATAAAATTTATTTAAAGATCATAGGCTTCTAGCTAAAATAAACTAAGTATAATTAAAAAATAAATTAACTAGATAATAAAAAATAGAATATTTTTTTTCTATATAGTTATAAATCCTTAAAATTATATAAATATTATAGATAATTATTTCTATCGTATTTTTTTAGCTATTAAATATTATAATAGACTTTGAGTACTTCAGGAAATATAAAAATAAATAATAAATTTTGATCTAGTTTTTATTTATAATATATAATATTAAATAACTAGTATTAAATATTATATATATAATAATTTTTAATTATTAAAATTCAATTTAATAAATATAATTATTAGATTAGTCCTTTAGAGCTCCTTCTTAATAAAAAATCTTTTAATAATAATATTAGAGAGAGTATAGATACGTAAAACTATATTTTTTTAATAATACTTTAAATTAGATATAATTATTTTAATCATATTATTATTTTTAATTTCAGAACTAGTATAGAAACTCTTATATTAAATAAATTTAAGATTTTTTTACTGAGAATTTAGCCCATGTAAACAGTAATTAATAAAAAAAACTAGATTTATTTTAATAAGAATAAGTAAAATATATAACTAATTTATTAAATTAAAATATTAGATTTATAATAATTATAGATTAAATACTAATTAAAAGTATAATAAAAGAAAATCTGTTTTTTAAAATAGTTTTAAAGCATAAAAAAATAAATCTATTAAATTATAGTTTAGAATAATTAATCTTTAATTAAAATCTTTTTTAAAAAGCTTCCACAGGACTTCTCTAGTAGTTATATAATATATTAAATATTACTTAATTTTTATAAATAATTCTAGAGATTAGATTTATATCTTAACTAATAATTATCTAGATTTATAAAAATTAGATTAGATCGTGGCAATCGCCCTCTAAAAATATATTATTTAAGAGTAGAGTATTAATCTTTTAATTAATATTATTTTTAAAAATAATTATTTATAAAAATTAAAATATAAATAAGCTTCACAGATAAATGTCTTAAATCTAATAGAATATATAATCAATTTATAAATTTTTTATGATAAATAATATAATTCTTATTAAATATTATAAAAGTGGTTAGGATCCCTAAAAATATATTTAACTATATTTAAAATACCTATAAAATTATTTAAAATATAGTTACTATTTTCTATGAGATAGACCTAAATATAAGAAATCTTTTTAAATTAATTAATTATATAGGCTTTATAAGTCAAGATAGTAATATAATAATTATAATATTTATTTTTATTTTAATTTAGAAAATAAAAGTTCAAGTCCAAGTAGTTAATTTTAAACTTATTAAAATTAGATATTTATTTAAAGAAAAAAATAAAAATAAAAAATTTAAAATTAATTAATATAATTATTTGTACTAAAGAAGCTGCAAGTTCTCTAATAATAAATTTTAAAATAAAAATAAAAATACTAATTACTAATATAATAGTTTATATAATTTTAATATATTTAGTTAAGATTTAATTCTTTTTTTCATAATATTTTTTTATAACTAGAGTATTAATTAAGTAGTAATCAATTTTTATAATTTATTAAATCTAGTATGTAATTATCATATTTTAAATATTAAAATTTTATTATAAGTAATCTTATTTACTAGTAATCTCTATAGTAAAAATAAAAATTTATTTATAAT